ACAACCCCGTAACTGAAGGCCTCTCCTGGTCCTCCCAAATACGGGCAGCTATGTGTCCTAGAAAGCTAGGAATCACACTCCCGTCAACAGGCCCACCGGGCACCTCACTCCTAACAACCCAAGAATCATTACCGGCCCTCGACTGTTTCCTGCTTGCCCCAGATACAGTGGACGCAGATGATGTGCCAGATCTACTAACAAACCTACCACCCCTACCCTTACGCACCTCCACCATATGTGTCTCGTACATGTCATCAACCCTCTGACTGAATGGACCGTAATCATCATACGGTCCACTGCCATCGTCCACATCCTCATCCTCATCTGCGCCCTCCTCCTGCTCCTCCTCCTGGTCACCCTCCTCAGCATCATCATCGTCATCGTCATCCTCATCCCGACGGTGGATCCGTTCTCTACGAGCTGAGGCCGAAATACCACGGGATCTGACATGTCTATGCCCCGACCTCTCCACTGAATAGCTTCTACTAAGAAGCTCTACATTCTTCCCCGCACCATGACGACCCAGTGAATTCTACACAAAATTTTAAAATATATAAACATACAAAAATTTATACGAAAAATAGCTACCACTACCCAAATCAAATAAACTAAAAACATACTAACAAATTAACATAATAAAGAAATTAACAAAACACTTAAATAAAAATAATAGAATAAAAAATACACTTAGAAAGGAAATAAAACCAACACAGAAGAATATATATAAACATAAATAATTCATTCCCAATTAAAATAAATTAACTAACCAAAAACAATATCAATAATAAAATTTAAAATAAATTAACTAACCAAAAACAATATCAAAGTCACAAAATTTTTTTTAAAACAAATCAAAATAGAGAATAAAAATAAAAATGTACAAAAAAAAACAAACAAATAATTGTAAACAAAATATAAACATAGAAAAAATACAACAAAATTGAAAAAATTTATAAAAATAAACAACAAAATATAAAAACAATTCAAAAAGATATTACACAAAAAAAAAACAATATTTTAAAACAAATATATAAAAAAAAAAGGGGGGGGGGGCGCCTTGGCTGGACGCCCAGCCAGCGGTGGTGGCGCCAGCTGCAGACGCCGCCACCAGTGGGCTGGCGCCTGGGCTGGACGCCACAGCCACGGCTGCGACGCCTTGAATAAACGCCACAACCGTGGCTATGGCGTCCAGCCCAGGCGCCAGCCTACTGGTGGCGGCGTCTGCAGCTGGCGCCACCACCGCTGGCTGGGCGTCCAGCCAGGGCGCCCCACCTCCGTCACGACGGTTTTTCCTTTTTTTTTTTTTTTTTTTTTTTACAAATTGTACCTTGCCTCCTTGGGACCTCCTTGCCTCCGCCGCCGCCGCCAATTCCTTGCCTTGCCGCCTTGACATTGCCGTTGTTTGAATTTTTTTTTTTTTAGAGAGGTTGAAAGAAGATGAGCGATAAGAGTGTGAGTGATGAGAGTGTGAGTGTTTTTTTTAGGTCAAGGGCAATATTGTCAAACCAAGTGAATTTTGTGGGCTTTATGTAGTAATTTGTGGGCGATGTTTAACAAATCCCAATTTTTATTACGTATAAAGCACAAAACATTGTCAAAGAGGAGTGAGTAAATAATGTTAAAGTCAAAACGTGTCAACTAAAAAAACGGAGGTAGTATGACTTAAAATTATCTTTAAATAGTGAATTGCTATTTGCCACAATGGAATTACTCAAGCTATAGTATTAAATGACCTTCATGCCCCTTTTAATTTTTTGAAATGACATAATAATCCAACCATTACTAAGTACTAACTTTGTCCCACCTTGACCTTACTCAAGCCATGGCTCCACCTTGACCATCAGCTCCACTACCCATACCTCACTAACCTTGACTATCCACCACCACGACTCTACCTTAACCAGCTTGACCGATTTCATGATGGTTGACCACCAACATTGTACTTTTCGACCACTAAAATGAGTCGACGACGGTCCACGTTCATATTGGAGGCAATTGGTGGGGACGACAAACTTTCATTTGACACCGTCAAGTCAGGTATATGTCGGACTTTTTTTTTCAATTTCCGTTGTACCAAGTCGCATGTAACATGCGACTGTACCATGGTATAGTCGCATGTATTACGCGACTATACCATGGTACAGTTGCATTTTACATGCGACTATACCATGGTATAGTCACGTATTACATACGACTGGGTACCGTTTAAATTTTTTTAAATATTTTTTAATAATAATTAAAAAATAACAAAATACACTTACTTTAATTAGTAAATTTACGGACTTAAAAAAAATAGCAAATTTACAAAAAAAAAAAAATTAATTTTATTTTTGTTTTCAAAGGAATTTAATTTAATTTGTGTTAAATTCAATTTTAATTTTTGTTATATCATGTATTTAATAGTTTATAAGTCCCAAAAAAAAATTGTTAACTTTGTATTTTTCTTTTTAATAGGATCCGACTGAAGATTTTGGTGGCGATGGGGTAAATTATTACCCACACTTTCAGACCGACCAATTATTTCCAACGTACTAAGAATTGTCACGATGGGCGAAAGACATTGCAATAACACTCAAGCTTCAAATTGTGATTTCTTACAACCATAACGAATGGTTGTATTTGCAATGCAATCGTGGTGCAAGAGATAGAGGGAAAAATAGAGATCTTAGTGTTGGGCAACGACCGAACACAAAAACTCAATATTACGGTTGCAAGTTTTTGATCAAGGGTTATAAAGTTTCTGACGATGAAGGATGGAAGATTGTCTTGGGACCCAATGCATATGGCAAACACAATCATGAGCTAATTGTCTATGAAGAAGGCAATCGACAAATGAGCAAGCTTAGTCCGTCTGCGAAGCAACTTGTTCGTGACCTAACTGATGGAAAAGTGACGCCACAAAATATCTAAGCGGCTGTGCGTAAGCAGTTTCCTGATGATCATCCCAATCGTAGACAAATTTACAACTTTAGGGATCGGTTGAGACTTGAAGAAGTTGATGGTCGAGTTGTTGTTACATATTTCCTTGAACTTGGTACCGAGTCGCAGTATACACATTGGAGCTTGGTTGACCCAAATACGAATGTTTTGACCCATGTATTTATGGCACATCCTACGTCGCTAGCGCTCTTACGCACGTACCCATGGGTTATTGGCATTGATTCAGCTTACAAGACAAACAAATACAAAATGCCTTTTTTGGAACTCGCTGGTGTTACTCCTTGTAACATGAATTTTTTGATCAAGTATGCTTTTATGAAGGATGAGAGCGCAAATAAGAGGTATATCAAGGTGTGCAAACATACACCGAGGCAAGTGTGACAAGCCTGTACCCTAAACTACTGCAGCCTCCTCGGGTGAAAGCCAGGCAAACCATAACTGAAGCTCGTAACATGCTCTTTCCCTATTCTGACACCTTAGCAAGTTTCTCTCCTTTCCATCCCATATCATACGAGCAACATGGCCTCCGAAACTAGGAATAACACTACCATCTAGTGGCCCACCGGGCATGTCCTCCTTCACTATCCAAGAATCATCATCAACTTGTCTTTGACATTTATTAGTACGTCGTCTACTAGTGGTGCTACCGGTGTCAAAAACGACAAACCTACCATCTGTAGCCCTTCTAGCTACCACTACACCTGATGTGTCATCATGCCCACCACTCTGATCAAAATAAACCTCAAACTCCTCCGTCACCATCTCCTCAGGCTCATCGTCAAAAGAAACAGATGCATCATCAGAAGCACCGTGAACAACAGTCTTTCCCAATCGTGCAACATCCCCCTCTCTCCTAACAGAGGCATCGATGTTTCGGGCTCGAGTGTGTCGCGGCCCTGAGTCAGTCAACACATCAGTTGCCACAATCGATTTTCCACCTTGTCGCTATTTAATATAATAATAAAATTTTCGACTATTATATTCATAATTCTAATAATAATTATTATTATTTCAATTATTATTACTATTAAACAATATACTATTGAAATCATTTTTTTTAACAATATTGATAATCCTAAATATTTACCAATTAAAAGCAAATGCCAAAAAAAAATTTACTACTCCATAATTAGTAACAAAAATTATATTTGCAAATAACATAACAATAATTACATATTAATAACAAAAATTAAATTTACAACTAAACTAACATTACAATTATTAATTATTATTAAATAGTTATTACTATTAGTAAATAAAAGTTATATTATAAATTATATTTAACAAAAATAAAAACCATAAATTCAAATTCAAATTCGATTTTTTTTTTTAAAAATAATCACCATAATTCGAAATTTAAATTCGAATTCAAAATTAAAAAAAAAATATAGGCATAATCGCCTGTAATATGCGACTACACCGTGGAGTAGTCGCATGCCATATTGCATGTGACTACGCCATAGTTGAGTTGCATATTATATGCGGTTGCACCGTGGCTCAGCCGCGTGTAATATGCAACCCAACCACAGCATGGTCGCATGCTAAATGCGACTATGCCGCGGTGTAACCGCATATTACAGGTAGTCCGACGAACAACATGAAAATAAAAAAATTAAAAAAAACTTATAGTCGCGTTGGCCGGCGATTTCCCTGTGTTTCTCGGCAAACGAACCGCCTTCCCACGCCGCGATTCCATTTTCGCCCACCTCCTGCTTTTTCCAGTAGATTTGGTGCGATAGGTGGTTGATTCCGACAATATTGCTGCGACAAGTGGTGCACTAGGTGTTTTCCGGCGAAATTCGTGGTGCACGTCGGAGGTCAAATTCACAGCCTATGGTGTTTAGGGTTTATGGTGGTGGAGGGGGCATGGGCGGTGAAAAAATTGGATGAGGTCAAAGATTAAATTTATAAGGGTAGAGAGGTTAATTAATACCGCGACATAAGTAATTCTATTGTATCATTTAGTAACCCCTTAAATAAGTCATCATTTTGTATAATAATATTATTCTAATGGGTATAGAGATACTGAAGTATGAATTGACAATTTACAAAGTCAAAGTTAGTGATTGTCATTGGGCGTGACAATTTCAGAAGTGAAACAAGAAACAAGTAGGAAGGGGCGGGGGGCGTGTGAAGGAGTCTTGGCGGAGGGGTTATTTCATCACCATTCAGCAATCAGCAGCAGCAGGAAGAGAGACAAGTAAATAAATTCCTGTTGCTTGGGTGAGGGGTCATTGCTTCTACGAGTATTACCTAAACCCAATCCCAATTTCACATCTTCCTCAATTCTAATTTTTGTTTCTGAAATTGAAATCCCCAATTTTTATAAACCCTAAAATCAAATTTAAAAATTAGACGCAGACGAAGATATAGATGGCTGGTATTATAAGATCAAGCTTGTCATTCATAGTGGGAACAGTATTCGGTGTTTATGTGGCTCAAAATTACAACGTCCCCAACATGAGGAAGCTTGCTGATACTGGTATGGCCATGTTCAACCACCTCGAGCAAACCTATCGCAAACCCAAGAAGCGTGGGGAGGAGGACGATCACTAATTTACCTGTATTTCTTCTTCCCTTTTTCTTTATTTTTATTTCAATGTATACTGCTGGACATCATTTATGGTTTTTTCCTTTGATTTATTATATCAACTACCAGCTTTTGATTTATCTTTCTGGATTTTCAAGATTATCTATTATTTTGGCTTTAAATCTTAATCGTGTTTACGCTTGACATTTCTGATTGATTAAGTTTGCAATACTCTAATTGGATATATTCGTGTCCTGATTAATTGATGGGGTTTTAAGGGGTATTTGGGATTATAGAATACTGAAACTTCAAGTCCGTTGTATATATACCTATGCTAGATGCTCAAGCCCATTGTATTATAGCCCCAATTAGAATAGTAATGGACTAATGGCTGTCGAATGTGCTGTATTTTAAATTTTACACGTATATACTGTTTCTTCCGATGGCCTGGAAGTTGGGACTATCGACTCATATACTTGTGTGACTTATAGCCTTATACATGGATTTTACTTGGAGAGCTAGCAAAATTAAATCAAACCGAATCTTATGATAGGAAGATTAACTGTTACACCTCTTTCGATTGTTACTTTATACGCTTAGAATTGACAGGACATGCACATAAATCAGATATGACGTAGCACTATACTAGTTAGGTTTGAGAGTGGAGTGCAAGTGTCACAGAGACTGCTGTTGGTGGATTGGTGGGGAGGGAGCTGTATACCTGAATTTGACTCAAGTCCCAAGGGTCCTGTATTGGTGGATGTTGGAATGAACTCCCTGAAATTGCTTATTACAGATTACCGGTCCAGCGCTATGACCTGATCCAAATTCCAGAGGATCAGGCCTACCATTCTCCTTCGCCAATGCTTACCTAAAACATACTACATATCTTCCATCCAAGCTGAGGTTACTTGCATTGTTTATTGCGTTGTCAAGGCAGGAGGCCCTAGGGTGAAGTACGTGCCAAAATGCCTCACACTTTGTTTGGATAAGAGGACATGGAAGTAAAGGGAAAAATGGGAAAGGGAGATCTTGTTTGGACGAGGGGTTGAAGGGAGGAAGGGGATTTTCCCTTCCGGTAAACACCATGCCTCCAAAATTGGAGAGATTTGAAGGGAAAATGGTCACTGTTTGTTTTAGTACTGTGTAAATTTAAACCTTGTTTCGCTGTTAGCTGGGAGCTTATGTCCCATTCTACTTTATATTGTGTCCTTGAAAGAGTTGACACTGTTACATTAATCGACAATGTTTTGTGTGTTGCTGGATTGCCGGAGAGTGTTTATTTGTTGATGTCCTGGGTATGGCCTTGTGCCCATGTCTGTTAGGAGATGCATGATACTACTGAGTACTGACCACTGCGTTTACCCTAGTATTTTTGCATATATCTGATTGTAAAATTGATGCCATGAGCTTTACAGCAAATAGATTTTGGATAGTGGCTTAGCAAACTATGTCTTCTGTTATACAGAAAAGACTAACTCTTGTCTGAAATCGGTTTGATAACTAGCCAGATGTGTTGCCTTTTTTTAATGATTGTGATCAACTCTAGCAGGGTCTACTAGCATAATCAGTGTGCTATCAAGATTCAAAACTTGATAGTATGTACTACCTCCCCTTCTGAATTTAGTTGTCTTGTCACCACATTAAATTACACTATCAATACATCACTAATTTAGGTCTGAGGGACATGTAAAGAGTGAATTATCTAAGCGAAGCAAGATGCCGGACCTCTGATTATCAATGTTATTCAGAAACAGGGACATATAAAGGCCAGCCAGAACTGCAGCTGCTTGAAACAGAAACCACATGATTCTTGCTCCTGTTTAAAGCTTTCATTTACAGAATAAGTAAATTATTAGTGGTTTTTCACATTCTTAAGTATATATTATCTTCATAAATGGCTATACTGGTAGTAGTTCTATCTTCCTACTCTTATACCAAACTACTCATACCAGCCAGGATAAGTGATCTATCTTCCTACTCTTTAGTCTTTACCAGACACTATTCATAACAGCCAGAATCAGTTCTACACCCAGATACAACACGATATTACAAAAGTCGTTTAATTAGTACTCCATGTAAGAAAATATTGCTGGCGAGTTGAAAAAGTGCATTACAATCGATATAAACTAAAACCAGCCCACTTGAATAAGACATCATTTATTTGAAGTCTCAATCGGTATAACAGTAGAAGAAGGAAATGTTTAGAGAAAAGTAGTTAGTTTAGTATATGTATGACAGTCATACATCCATATGATATGTTCTCTACAACTCCATCTGTTTCAGATTAATGGTTGCACTTGCCTTTAAAAAAAAAAGATTAATGGTTGCACTTCATATTATTTCTCTCCCATTAATATCACTAGTAGTATTATTTTATTGCCCCTTGTAAATTTTGAAAGTAAAAAGTTGTTTTTAAAGTACGTGTTTATATACGCATTACACTTAAAATGAAAGAAATACATGCCCTACGATCACTTTTCCACATTACACAACCGTAGATCAACTTACTCCGTTACCAGGACTTAAAACATCATCAGATTAATCACATGGAGTTTGGGATTATTTAGCGTTGCACTTGTTGACTTAACTACGAGTCTATCGTACCCTTTCTTTTTCTAACTACTCATCTCTTCACTACCCGGCTATTCCCTTCCCACCAAAAAAAAAAAAAAAAAAAAATGGTTTAACCTATAAAGAATTGATATAAACCTTTGTATGTTTCCTTCCTACCGTCAACTTAATCATCTCTAATAAAAGTAGTGGAGGAGAGGGACAACAATATAATCTATTAATCTAAATACTACTCCGAATCCCTTTTTGTGATTGGAGAAAATTTAAATTATTTATTTCACTCAAACATGCTTAAATTAATTATTAAGTAATTTTCTTTAAACCCTTCACTATTTTTGTAAAGAGTAATTATTAAGTAATTTTTTAAGTTGCTAAGAGTCATAATATGCATATACAATGTAATCATAGTGCTGGAAAACTCCTATAGAAGTTATAAAATTAACGTGATCATTTGAAAAAGACATAGTTATTTGGTTAGGGGAAAATGATGAGTAAACAGGAGCAAGCATTGTCATTTTTCTTATGAAACCCTAATAGATTTATAGGAGTGAAACAATATTGAGATATGTTGCTTTTGTATTGCTATGTTGCCTATTTTGTTGATTAGAATAGAAAAATATAGGAACCTAAATTTTTCAAAATGGATGAGTTATGTTTGTCCTTTATAATATGTAGTGGGTAATTTATATTTTTTTTTTTAATATTTCATCATACAGTCATTAAAAATAAGAAAAGAAAAAAATAGGATCAGTAAAATAATTATATGTAGTCCATATAGAAGCAGATTTTTTTTTTCTTTTTTTTTTTTTTTTAAATGACCATTGCAGTGCAATTTAAGAGTAGCTTCCAATATTTATCAATAAGAAAGTGTTCAAATCAATTCACTAGGGTATAATCGTAGAAGGTCTTTTGTAATTGAAAAAAGGCAGTAGATGAAAATAGGAATTTGTTTGCTTTTCTATTTGCATTGCTTGGCTTGTCAAATGAGCAACTATAAAGTTTAGAAAATTGATGGCAACATAGAGAGACTACCATTCCCTAGCTAAGGTTGATCATCAATGTTTTGCATTAGCACCAAGCCACCAAGGCTCTTTCTCGGTCTCTAAGGCGATTAAGTCTAGACAGCCTGCTTTTAGTTTTTGATATGACGTCAAGTCCAACTTGATCAGCTTTATAATTTTTTTTTTTTTTTTTAATGGTAAGATAAATGGATCCTATTGAATCAGCACCTCTCACAGATTAAGCCAGCCTAACTTCGCAGGTTAACGTTTGAATATAAAGGGGGAGATAAGAGAATCCCCTTACTCCTAAGCAAATATTGATCTTGGTGATCAGTTTTACAAAATGCTCATATTAGGAATGTACGTACATGTAAATTTATAAATACTACTCGTATTAGTATTATTACAAAATACTCCTTAACAAATCAACAATGTACATAGAAGTATATATTGATTTGCGTCATTAATCAAATAATATGGAGAGGTATTGCTATAATCTGAAAAAATACAAATGGAAGAGGGGGGGTTCACGACAAAGTACTACGAAGTAGAAAAAGAATTGACAGCCTTATTTATCACAGTAAGAAAAAGAAGTTAACTCCAACTACAAACTCTGTCTTGTTAAAACTTAAAAGGCTGCTACTGTACTAATTACCAACAGGTGCCTTAAATCTGGTGTAGCCATTTTCTACTCCGTAGTAAATTTGCTCTTATCTCAGGGGCTTTTTTGTCACTTTTTCTTCCTGTTGACCCATTCCAAAGCTTAACAAATGTTTTTCCAACCCCTTAAACTAATTTAGGCCTTGAATTTTTTTTGGCTAAGTAATCAAGTTTAAGAAATTGGTTTACTTAAACTTTGTAAACGGACTGATGTTGACACCTGTTGCTTGCCTGGTTGGTTTATTATATAACGTACTTTCTTCATTCTTTATTATATAATGATAGAAATAGATATTCGAAAATTATACATTGAGACGGTTTTAAAACTATGTGTAATCTTATATACTTCCTTTGGTTTTTTACTTTTCATTTTTCGTGTTATACGTATAACGCATAGGCCCTTCTCATACCATGCGTTTAATATTCCACTTTGAAAGGAGGGGTGAATGAGATTCGAACCCGTGACCTTTGTATCATACTAGCTCTTAATACCATGTTAAAGGACCAATTCAACCAATATCTTAAACTGATGGTTGAGGTCTAGGAATATGTTTTATACTTTATCAAAAGTAATGAATCGAAGACGTGAAAACATGTAAATGTTACAACTAAAAAAATGTGAAGATAGTATTGTATACTAACATTGGTATGAGTACTCCTTCCATTTTATTTAAGTGCTCCAAGTTGATTTTTTACACTATGTACGTAAAATTACTTTGACCAATGGTAGTGATTTATACTCGTAGGTAAGCAAAAACTGCCACGTATGTGTGTGTACTTGTTGGAATCGTCTCAATGTATGATTTTCGAATTTTAACTTTTTACATTATATATATATATGTGTGTGTATTGATAATTAAAGATATAATTGGTTAAAGTTCTTCATTGACATATGTGTTAAGTCAAATTGGGGGTACTTAATAAAAACAAAGAGAGTATGTATTAGTTAAGGTGATTTATGGAGAATTGGAGACTAATGGAGTATATGAATAGTACAAAGTCAAAATGAAGCATTAAAACAACAGAGTGGGAGGAGTTTAACCCCAAAAAAAAAAAAGGAAAGGTAAGGGGAGAGGAGTGTAGAATGGGTTGAGCAGTAGTAGACCACTTGGAGGCAGGAGGGGACATAATAAAACCCCAGAGAAAATATACAAGTACTGTACATTACTCACGAGATAGAGAAAAGAAAGGGTTAATGTTAATGTCCTTGAGAAATTGAAAAGAGGGAGAAAACTAAAACCCAGAAGAAAGAAAGAAAGAAAGAAAGAAAGAGGAGAGAGAAAATAGGAAAGAAAGAAAAGAGGCAACTTTATTTAACTTTATTATGATGCACGCATCCATGCCAGAACAACCATACAGACTAGTTACTGCTACCCTCTTTCATTTCTAGACTACATTACAAAACCAACCCCCTAGGCTCACCAACAAGGAACCCCCACTCTTTTTTCTTTTTTTATTTTATTTTTTTAATAAATTTTATCATATGATATTATGATTATGATATGAAGAAGCAACCCCTCTCCTCTTTCTTCTGTACAAGTAGAAGAAGAAGAAATTAGAAATGCTGTTGTTGCTCAAGGGATTAGATATGCCTGGTTTCTTCTTCTTGAACCACTTTCATCCACTTGTTCTGCTTCCTCTTTTCTGATACCACCCATTTCACTATGGTAATGTAATGCTTTCCCTTTTCCCAAATCTCTTCCTGAATCCTTCCTGTTTTTTTTTTTTTTTTTTTTTTTTTTTTTTATTTTTTTTTTAAATGTATTGTCTTTAGGGTTTCTTCTCTTTAATTAATTAATTAAGTTTTAATTTGTTACTTGGGGCTTTTCTGGATGTAGATGCGAGCTATGCCCTACAATTTGCAAGGCAAGGGTGTGGTTGAGGTTTCTGGTTTAATTTCACAAATCTCTTCTTCTGTTACTCCAACCTGGAAGACCCTGGACAATTTACAGCACCACCAACAACTTTCTCAGGGAGACGAAGAAGACGACGACGACGAATTCTTACAGAATCCGAATCCGGCGAAAAAGCAAATCTCGGCAAGTTCGATTGAGAGTGAACCCACATCTACTCTGGATACTACCAGGCGTAGCCCCAGTCCACCCACCTCCACATCCACACTTTCATCTTCCTTCACAAACAACTGCAAAAACAACAACTCCACTACTGCCGGTGTGGCGGACCCCGCTTGTGCCCGCAAAGAGGATTGGCCCTCCCACCACCACCAACAACAAGGATCTGACAATGACAATGTCACCGCTGCTTCTTCCGTCGGACTCGGAGTTGCCGCTTTAGAAGATTGGGATGCCTTGTTTCCAACCGGGGAAGGTGCTTTACTGCCTTGGATCATTGGAGATGCTGAAGACCCTTCTTTGGGTTTGAAGCATCTTTTGCAATCTGGTACTCTCGTTGATTATGAGGGTAATGCTGGTCTTGGTGTTGTTGATCAAGGTCCTGGATTCGACACTCCGCCGCCGCCGCCGTCCAGGCACCACCTGCTGCAACAGCATCCTCATCCTCTCCCCGCGCCTGCTTCTGAAGGTGTCACCTTTCTTGGGGGGTCTGAATCATTCGCTAATGGTAATGCCAAGATTGGTTTGATTTCTCCTAATTCTTCATCTGGGTATCTAGATACTAAAAATGGGGGGATAAATCCTTCAAATGCTATGCTTCTCGGTTCAATTAATAACAATAATAATAATTATCCGCATCAATTTGAGGTTGGTGATGAAAAGCCCCAGATATTCAACCCACAATTGGTGATGAACCAACACCAGGCTCAGAGCCTAGGAAACCCTAGCTTCTTCATGCCCCCATTGGGTTACTGTCACCTAGACCAACATTTATTTCAACCTCCCAACAAACGTCATAATCCTGGCGTTGTTCTAGACCCGAATCTTGCTGTCAAGAACCCGTTTCATGATCAGGGTCATGACTTAATGTTGCGGAAACAGCAGCAGGCGGGTGTGGGTTTCCAGCAGTTTCCCATGGGTTTGCCTCCGCCAATGATGGTGCCTAAACAAAACCATCAGCAGCAGCAGCAGCAACAGAACCATTTCCCATTGCCCGTCCTTCATCAGCAGCAGCAATTGCAAGAGCAGGCTATAAAAGACCAGCTCTTCAAGGCGGCAGACCTGATATTAACTGGGAATTTCTCACTCGCGCAAGAGATATTGGCGCGGCTCAATCACCAGCTCTCCCTCCCGGCAAAGCCCCTAGTACGGGCTGCTTTGTATGTGAAGGAAGCTCTACAAATGCTCCTGACGGGCAACCCAGTTGCAGCTCCTTCGTCAAAGACCCTCACCCCTTATGATGTTGTTCATAAGATGAATGCCTACAAGTTGTTTTCTGAGGTCTCCCCCATTACTCAGTTTATGAATTTCACTTGCACACAAGCCATTCTTGAGGCTCTTGATGATGCTGATGCGATTCATATTATTGACTTTGATATTGGTTGCGGTGCTCAATGGGCGTCATTTATTCAAGAGCTTCCCTTGAGGAAACGAGGTCCTCCATCCCTCAAAATCACTGCCTTAGCTCCATCCTCAAGTCACCCCTTTGAACTTGCCTTAATCCGTGAAAACCTTGTGCAATTTGCCAATGATATTGGTATTGCTTTTGAGCTTCAAGTTGTCAATTTGGATTTGTTTGATCTGTCTTCGTGCTCCTTGCCCAATTTCAGAACCTCGGAGGATGAAGCAATTGCTGTTAGTATACCCATTTGGTCGTCATCCAATCGCCCATCTATCCTTCCACCCATCCTCCAGTTCATTAAGCAGCGTTCCCCCAAAATTGTGGTCTCTTTGGACAGAGGGTTTGATCGCTGTGATGTTCCTTTCCCACAACATCTTGTCCATACTCTTGACTCGTGCACTAATTTCTTAGAGTCACTTGATGGTCTAAATGTAGCCACAGACATTGTAAACAAGGTTGAGAAGTTTTTTATCCAGCCTAGGATTGAAAACACTGTGTTGGGGCGTGTCCATTTCCCTGAAAAGATGCCCCACTGGAAGAACCTATTCGCCTCAGCTGGTTTTTCACCTGTGCAGTTTAGCAATTTCACCGAAACTCAGGCAGATTATGTGGTAAAGAGAACTCCAGGAAGGGGATTTCATGTAGAGAAGCGGCAGGCATCTCTAGTGCTAAGTTGGCAGAGGCGGGAACTGGTGGCAGCTTCGGCATGGAGGTGTTGAGAAGACTCAATTTCATCAAGCTAGGAGGTTTGCTTTCGCATATTGGTCACATTGCATTCCCGGAGGTTTTAAATGTTTTATGTGATACATGATATTGTCAATAATTAGAAGCTATGGTGATGATGACACCTCTCTTTGTGGCTTAAAACTCTTTTCTATCTCCTTGCTTGTGAGTATCCTAGCCTTTGTGCCTTTCAAGCCGGCGTATTATTTTGCTATGTACAACCAAACAATTAACTTCAAAGTTTAGTATTCGTAGCTTTCATGTCCTTTGACATTCTAATTGTTAAGTATCATATTTTTCTGTCCATGTTTAATTCTCTGGCAAGTTTGCTCAATGTTGAAAATGTTTTTACTTGATGTGTATATTTGTCCATGTTTAATTTATCTACAAACAACTAAATTATGACACATGATGATCAGAAATGTAGAAAAATTTTCCAGTGACTTGAGAGGAGTGGATATAGGTAATACCACTGTGAGTTAGCATTATTGGAGATTGCCTAGGCACTAATTAGCAATTGAATACTTAACTGTTTGAGTGATTATGCATTTTTTTTTTTTTTTTGGGTATGTTTCTTTCATCATCATATTTGGTTATTGTCAATTTGTCATCTGTCACCTTGTCATATTGATTGGATGAAAGCTTACATCAAGGCTCGATGTTTCATATATTTGTTCTTGCGTTGATCTGCAATGCATTTTGATTACCTTGGCCACCCGTCTTCGATGTGAGTGGTTATCTTATCCTTCTTGTATTCCCAGTGAAGCCAGGTATGTTTTACTGTGCTACTCAACCCTCTTTGCATAAATTTTTCGTTTCAGTGAACTTGCTACTTTGAAATTTTCTACTTTGCTCTATTGAGTATGCTGAATGAAACCTGTAGCTAGGAGTATGATTCTCTGGGATATTTACTCTTCATTCTCCCATTCTCATTCCCTGATTTTGTGTTATAATAATTATATACTGCTTTACTTCTTTTAACCTTTAGATTGTCAAGAACATATATGTATCTTATCCTTCTAGAATTGTCAAAGTTGAATATTCAAGAGTATATATTAAATTTAGTATCTGGTATTCTCAAGCTCTGAAAAGGCTAGGGATGGAGAAAATGGTTGACAAATCACCCAGGGGGTGCGAAAATAATAAAATTCCAATTACAGGTTAGAGAGGGTAGTTGACTAGTAGTTGTGATATTTTGGATAGGTGGTAGTACTTTGGAGGGTGATGATGGTCGGGAGGTACCGGGAGTGAGTTGTTCATTGTGAAACATCGAGAGGAAGTGAGTAATCGGGAGTACTAATGCTTATCCATGAAGTTCGTATGGAATTTCCTCTTATAATAAGGTAAATGATTGGATCTAAAACTCAATTGTTGACATGATAAACCACCCCCCCTCCTAACTTGGGGACAGGGACATAGTTTACTGAAAATTTTCTACTCCATTGAAGTTGCACTAATCAAGTTGGTCATTATCTATGCATTATGGCGCCGCTAAAATCTTTTGTTTGGTGGGGGATAGATCTTGTGTGATTAAAGAATTAGTCTTGATTTTCTCTGCTTTATATTTTTTTTAAGATCTGTTCATTGCTGCTAGATTAGTAGGTAAGTTCCCAACAAAATTGCAAGGAAGGGGGGTGCATAACTTTAGAACATATCTATTGTATACCCAAATCTACACTTTAAGATGTTACGTTGGCAAACATGAATCTGTGAAAGAATACTTGCCTAAATTCAGTTATATCCTATAATTGGTTAAACTGTAGGCTTGAGAGTTGAGAGTCATGTTGTTGATACCCTTGGTTTGCTTGGAATGTCTGGACAATGTGGATGAATATACCCCCATCAGTAAGCAATGATTTACATGAATACCCCTGGCCCTGGGATTTGGTAACATGTTAGACTGTCATTGAATTATTAAAGGTGTAATCTTTAATAATGGCTAAGTATTAATAATTAAAAAAATGTTGGTAATTGAGGATTAAAAAAAAAGAGGAAAGCTTGTCTTACTGTGCATTGAATTTGGTTCCCTTCTCAGGCATTGCATTGTTTTAGTAGACAGCTGCTAATCAGACCACATGGGTCATGTTTGATTGATCCATTAGCTTCATTAGTTTACTCATTTATTCAATTTTGGGTTACATTATAGTTGCTATTAATATAATCTTCTTGTTCTTATTATTGTTATTTTTTTAAGTTTATTGATGTCTAAATCATAAGTTTAAGGGTGATGTAGCTTTGTTTGCAAGTGGGTTATTTATTTAAAATTATTTGGGGGGTGATGAAGATGATAGATAGAGCTAAAACAGGGCTAATTTCATTGTTAATTAATAAAAATCTCCACAAGAACATGCTAGGTATGGACAATGACAGTTTAAGGAGTAGCTTTTTGTCATAATATTTAGTAGCCATTATTATTTATTTAATTAGTTGATGGTCCCTTATTTCTTTTATTTTTAATCACCAAAATAATCCCTTTAATTTAATAAAGAAAATCACCTAATCTCTCTGTGTTTGTATAGTATAATAATGAGTAAAAGAGGGTACAAAACAAAGTGAGTAATAAAGAATGGGATTTGCTTTAAATGGGTTGGCATTTGGCAAATTGTCTTTGTGAAATTACTTTACGTCTCCATTAATTTTGCTGGGAAAATACAGGGATGCCGCTCATTTTCTGTTTGGTGCCAAGGAACACTTTTAACTCTCCCCCCCCCCCCCCCCCCCCCCCCCCCCCCCCCCCCCCCCCCCCCCCCCCCCCTCTTTTTTTCCCTTAACCATTATTTATTTAAGCTACTCAAAGATTTTTTAAATTTTTTTTTTCTTTTTTTCCCCATTTCAGTTTCTTTAGCATGGAATTAAACGGTAATCTTAATTCTTAAATTAAAAACTCTTTTGGGAGTCCGACATGTTACATAAGCAACAATCCAATAGCTTAGGCTTAGCCATGTATTTTCCAAACAACGTCCATGTTGCCCATGTATACCAGTTACGTAGTGTTGAAGGATAGTGCCCTTAATAGTGGATTCATTAGTTATGATATATTACTTTGATTACAAATTAAACAAATTTGGAGTATGTGTTCAAACAAAAATACTGTGTATTATCATATACAGTATTTACTTTTTTTTTTGACAAGACAGTACTTACTAAAATATTGGTGGATAAGTCTTATTTTTAAGATAAAAGTTTTACATAGTATATTATAGTAAGGAGTATAGTTCTTTCAAAAAAAAAAAGGTAAGGAGTATGGTTTTATTAATATAAATTTAGGAAACTAAAGCTTAAATATTACGTTGCAAATATGCTAGTCAAATTATTGCAATTTCATGAAAATAGAAAAAGTTCGTTGCATTAACTATAGTAAATATCCATCTTGAAAGTTTGTGTACCCTTTTGAGGACTTGAATTGATATCCTCGTAGTATGAAACTTGAATTCAAATATCCTATCGAATGTGTCTCTCTCATGGGTATAAGAGTATGATAATACTTCATCTATTAGAATTACAACACTTTAATTGACATGATAATTTAGGCAAAAGGAGAAAGGTATCAAGTGGGTTGTTAACCATATGATTATACAAAAAGTAAGTGTATTTTAAGTGTTACGGACTATTAGGCAAGTAAACATACGGAGTGACATGTTTGGCACTTTGTACATGGTGAGCTAGGATCAATGTAAATATAAAGGATGAATTAATCTAAATGGATGGTAAGGTGTACTCAACGTATTAGATGACATGTTTAGTACTCTGTATACGGTGAATCGAGATAAATGTAAATATAGAGGGTGAATTAATTTCAGATGACATTATACAATATCCCTTATGTATCATGAAGTTAACTTATTTGAAGTTTTGAACTAACTCAACTCATTTGTCCAAAATTATCTAATTAGAATCTATATCTAAACTTAATTTCCCAAAGTTATTAATCTAAACTTACTAATTCTATCTAACTTAATTTTAATAAAGTCTTGTGTAAGGCGGGTGCACGTTAATTTTATTGTAAAACGGTCAGTTTGAGGGTAACTTTAAGTCTTTAACTATTTTTATAGTAACTTTAACCCATTAAAGGGTAACTTTTAATTTGTCGTTGGTTTGAGTTTTATTTTAATGTGTAATTTCTTATAGATTCATTATTACATATTATAAAGGCTAACATGATTAATCTATTACCACCTCCATTTTTTTTAGTTAACACGTTTTGACTTTAGCACTATTCACACACTCCTCTTTGACCGTGTTTTGTACTTTATACGTAATGAAAAATATAGTCATGTGAGATCTTGTTAGATTCGTCACGATATATATTTTCAAAATATCAACTTTTCATTATTTTTGCTTATCGGTAATTAAAGATATGAATGGTTGAATTTGTGCATTGGCAAACGTGACTAAAGAAACGTGTCAACTAAAAAGAAACGGAGAAAGTACATTATAAGTTTTTTGTAAGATAAAATTTATTATTAGAAAAAAAAACTTTGTAGTATAAAGGGTAACTTTAAATACTTTTAAGATTAGTTTAACCCGTCTTACGATAAATTAACATACACCTGCCTTTTGGAAAATTTGTAAGTGTAAAAAATATGCATTGAGTCTAATTTCGGGTCTTGGAGTAGTGAGCGATAGCTCGCGAGGTAGCTCAGTAGTTTGTAGCTAGGTAAATGTGGAGTTGCGACGAAAGTGGAGCTATAGCTCCTAGGTGAGCGAGCTATAGCTCGCGGAGGTATGTAGGTGCAGTTGGATCAAGCGAGAGCTCAACCGCGCGTAACTCGAAAAGTTGCACATGCCAGCGTGGAAGTTGCGCGCGGAGGGTCTGCAACATTCAATGCTGAGGCGTCATCGATGTTCTGCGCGTCTGATCTATCTATCTTATTCCGGAGTGCTATATAATTATATGTATCCTATAGGGTTTTTTCGTAGCCGTATGATTGTGTCATTAAGCGTTATTCAGAAATCTGAGAGTCTTTTGTGTATTTCTCATTTGTGAGTTTTGAAAGAGATAACATTAGAAATCGGAGTGACAATCAATTTGTTTTCTGTGAATGGTCTCAAATCTATAATCTGTATTCCCCAAAATCAATAAAACTATTACTATCGCCTGCTCATGAACGTAGCCAATTGTTGGCGAATCACGTAAATTTGTGTCTTGTTAATTTTTTATATTTATTTTTTTAAAAAATATATTTAATTTTTGTTCTTTCTTGCGTCTGTTATTACTACAATAAATATAAATAAAGTGAAAAAAAATAGAAGTGTAGTACAATTTCTCTATTTGGATTATAGTTGCTCGAGTGGAGTGGTCCA